CCCAGACTGTGGGGGCGATATGCTGACTCTGTAAACCGCTTAGAGAGGGCTGAAAGCCCTACGAAGCGGTATATAAGTCTAACTGCTATTGCTATACGTAATCCCCAGGATAATGTTGCAGGATTCAATCGGAGCCGGTCACCAGGACCAGAGGTCTATTCTTCTAAGTTTATGGACTCGTGCTGGAGTCCATCCTCAGGGAACTTCTCTTTCTCCAGAAAGTGTGCGCCGGGCTGCTCTATGCTCTTCTAAGAACATGAGTGAGCAATCAGACAAGGAAACTCAAACTCATTAGTAGCCTCACATTGAAATGAACATGCATTCCATTTCGCAGCTACTACGATTGTCGGCTGAGCAGGGACAAAAATAACCAGAGGAACAATTGAAGCCTGGGAAACGGGCCCCTTGTTAGTCAAAGGAGTGCTGATTCACCGCCAGCTTACCACGTTTCTTGGGAGTTGAGGGCACAGCGGCACAAGGAAACAACAATGACTTAACAGCCGGCCTCACGGTCCCAATTAACAACTAAAAGCCACACACAAACAGACACCGCATAAATACTATGCATAGAACAGCCCAGCGCAGACATTTTGGAGAATGAAAAGTTCCCGGAGGAGGGGCTCCGGTATGAGTCTTGGAAGAATAAACCTCTGGTCCCAGTGATCGACTCAGATTGGATCCTAGACATACCCAGCTCTCTTGGCCCTCAACCGCTCATCATGCCATATATAGCCCCCAGACCCTTTTCTCCATCAAGACCAGAACAAGGAAGTGACTCACAGATTCCACCAGGCATTCAGTGCAGGAGAACATGGCACCCACGATGGCAAAGTTTTTGGCGTACGACATTCCCCGTTGCCCCATATCTTTCAGGACCTCTCTGGCTGTCGGCGTGCGGTAGGGATCCTTGGGGTCAAAGCCCACGTTGGTGTCGATGCCAGCGGTGAACACGCCAAAGGCTCCACCCAGGACGAAACCTGCCAGATGAGGATTGCAAAGAGGTCAGTCAAGGACATTTTGCCCAAGATCAAAATGAGAGTCCTGCAAATGGGGGGTCAGACAGCTTATTTTCATGCCATCTCCCCCCGCTGTACAAGGTTGCCAGACACAGGTAGCACTTGACTTACGACCACAATTCGAGCCCAACATTTCTGTTGCTAAGCAAGACAGTTGTTCAGTGAGTTTTGCCGCTTTTAAGACCTTTCCTGCCATAGTTAAATGAATCACTGCAGGTGTAATGTGAATAACCTGGTCATTAAGTGAATCTGTTTTTGCCCATTCACTTTGCTTGGAGATGGGGAATTCTAGTCCCACTTTAGGCATGAAAACTAACTGGATGACTTTGAACTCACCCAGACGGTGAGTTCTAGTTCCTGCCTGAGGCATGAAAGCTGACTGGGTGACTTTGAGCCAATCACCAGGAGACGTTGAGTTCTAGTTCCCATCTTAGGCATGGAAACGAATTGGATCATTTTGAGCCAATCACCAGGAGATGGTGAGTTCTAGTCCCACCTTAGGCATGGAAACAAATTGGATGATTTAGAGCCAATCACCAGGAGACAGTGAGTTCTAGTCCCACCTTAGGCATGGAAACTAATTGAATGATTTTGAGCCAATCACTAGGAGATGGTGAGTTCTAGTCCCGCCTTAGGCATGGAAACTAATTGGATGATTTTGAGCCAATCACTAGGAGATGGTGAGTTCTAGTCCCGCCTTAGGCATGGAAACTAATTGAATGATTTTGAGCCAATCACCAGGAGATGGTGAGTTCTAGTCCCACCTTAGGCATGGAAACAAATTGGATGATTTAGAGCCAATCACCAGGAGACAGTGAGTTCTAGTTCCTGCCTGAGGCATGAAAGCTGACTGGGTGACTTTGAGCCAATCACTAGGAGATGGTGAGTTCTAGTCCCGCCTTAGGCATGGAAACTAATTGGATGATTTTGAGCCAATCACTAGGAGATGGTGAGTTCTAGTCCCGCCTTAGGCATGGAAACTAATTGGATGATTTTGAGCCAATCACTAGGAGACGGTGAGTTCTAGTCCCATCTTAGGCATGAAAACTAATTGGATGATTTTGAGCCAATCACCAGGAGACGGTGAGTTCTAGTCCCGCCTTAGGCATGAAAACTAATTGGATGATTTTGAGCCAATCACCAGGAGACGGTGAGTTCTAGTCCCACTTTAAGCATGAAAACTAATTGGATGATTTTGAGCCAATCACCAGGAGACGGTGAGTTCTAGTCCCGCCTTGGGCATAAAGGCCAGCTGAGTGATTTTGGGCCAATTCCTCTCTCTTTCAACCCAGCCCACCTCACAGGGTTGTGGTTGTTGTTGTTGTTGTGGGGAAAACCGGAGGCCGAAGCAGCATTGTGTGTCTTCTCCTCGCCTTGAGTTGTTCGTAATAACAATAAAGGCGACTTAACGCAGAAGGCGGCCCGCAGCTAAATTTGATAAATGTTCAAAAGAAATAGAAATAGAAAATTTTGATAAATTAACAAATGAAAGTAAATAATAAATAAATAATTCAAAATACAGTTTTCTAGCATTAATCTAGCCTCCTCCCTGGGGTGGAGGAGTTACCTCACCCATCATCCTCAGCCCTGAGGGGGGAGACTGGCACAATTAGAGCTGCAACTCTCGCCACGGCCGCCAGGGGGCAGCAGAGGAACGCAGAACTGCCTCTCTATCGCCCCTTAGCGGCCGCCCGAAATATTGCAGGGCTGAAGGCGATGGAAGTTGTAGTCCTCGCGACTGCAGAGGAAGTGAAGTCGGCCTTTCAAGGCTCCTCCTCGGGAAAGACCCACCGCCGACACAGGCCAGCACCGCCTTGAAGCCGCAGCTCTCCATGGCGCGCTCGACCATCTTCTGCTCGGGGCTCTTGACGGGCGCCGGGAAGCCCCCGAGGACGCCCGCCGGGAAATCCGGCCTCGGGCCTCGCTTTTCGCCCACCAGGTACTCCAGCAGGAGGCTGTACTGCAGCGGCGAGTCCGCCTCCGTCGCCTTGCCGGCTTCATCGGGCTTCTTCGGGGCTTTGGGGAAGGCCGCCGCCATTCTTTCTCTCTCTCCTCCCTCACAACGCGAAGCCTACAGCTCCCATCGTGCCCTTCGCCGCTCGCCCCGGCTTTCCCAATGGGAGGAAGCACCGTGGAGCTTCATGGGAAATATAGTCCAATCGCCAAAGAGGAGAAAAAAAATCGTTTGGATTCCAGTGCGCAAGCGCGCCTCTTAGCCAATCCCGCTGCTTGCTTTCAACCGGACTACCATTCCCGGCGTGCCTTCCAAGGTTGCTGGCCAAATTCGCGCTCCAGGGGCAAGATGGGAGGTGTAGTTTTGGTGGGCTCGGGAGTCCTTTGACCTGCGCGAGGTCGCCCCCTAGCGGACCCGTTGCAAAGGGAAGAATTGCAGATGCCCCGAGCATCTTTTAAAAGGACAGGTGAGAAGGCTCCAGGTAAGACGGGGGTCTCTGCTAGAAGGCGAAAGGGGCAGTGGGATTGGGGTGGGGGTGGGGATTTTGCCCTGGGGCAGGGCCTCAATGATAATTTTAGACAACAATTGTGGTGGATGATGCATTCTGCAAAAAATGTTTCTATTTATAGCCTCAGTCTACGGTAGTTAATGCAAATCTATTTGAGAAATGATATTTGCTTGCACATCTTAAAAATCACTCCGCGGCTCCATGTTTTCTTCCTATTTGCAACGCACCTTCTGAATGCATGGCCTTTTGCAAAAAAAAAAAAAAAACCCAAGGATTTTCCATAAATCTTTAAAAAAGACTTATTTAAAAAAAACATTAAAAAAAACCTCTTTCGAGGACAGAATTGGGTGGAATAATAGAGCATTGAGGCTTAACAGAAGCAGGTTATGGAAAATCAACCTTGGCTTAGAGTAGTGGGTCTCAATCTTCCTAATGCCTTTAATACACTTCCTCATGTTGTGGTGACCCCCAACCATAAAATTATTTTATGTTTCCCATATTTTTTCGAAAATATGTCTTTTCCGATGGTCTTAGGCGACCCCTGTGAAAAGGTCGTTCGACCCCCAAAGGGGACCCGGCCAGTGGTTGGTTTCAAAAAATTTTCGATCCTACTCTGTGGGTGTGGCCTCCTTTGTGGGAGTGGCTTGCCAG